GCTATTACAAAAGGCGATACAATTTGCATTGCGAACGTTGGGAGCATCGCCATTTTTCACTGGCAATTTCCGTTTAAGTAGAACTTATGCCCTTTGCGGGAAAAATAAAGCAGAGAAGTGTTTGTTTAAACCCTTCAAGCGGATTTTATTTTATTGAGCAAATATGTAAATTCAATAAAATGCCAACATTTAAAAACCAACAGAAATAAAAATATGAGATTAATTTAAAATAATTTTATTTTAATATTGACTTTTGATACAAAAAAAAAATGTATAAAATGAAATATTCACAATTAGAAAAAAAATTTGAAGAACAATACGCATTATTTTTCAGAGTAGATATTTATATACATTTCAAAGTAATTGTTAATATCTGGTCTTTTAATAAATCAAGAAATAGATTTTCCAGGGCAACCTTCTTTCTAGTACTTATAGTATTCGTTTATACATAGTGCAACTACTACAGTTCAATATTCGAAATATTATTTCGAAAAATTTTATTGTTGTCTGACATTCATATTCTTTAAGAATATGAATTACACAAAGATTACACAGAACTCAGTAACAGATAAATTCTTTCTTCTTTGGTAGAAAATGTTGAAAAAACTTCATTGTAAAGATAAATACCAATGTAAAAATTCACTACATGCAAAGTTCTACTGCTTCACTTGAACTAAGTTACTTAAATAAGTTTTAAAACTTTTCTATAAAACATTTTGCCTTCACAAGATTTTCTCCATTTTTGTTATAAAGTCGCCTCGAAACTAATTTGCATAATTGGAAACGCAATTAGAATTTCACTAATTTGTGTTTTCGTCCCCGACTGTTCGTTTGAGTTGTTGCCATACAAAAGTGACCCAGTTTCTGAAATCATGTGTACCATGATCCGACCATTATTATTATTTAGACTCATTGTTGCAGAAGAGACGAATGCAATATTAATACTTTTACGTATATATGTTTGTAAAACGGAAATATATGTGCAAAACCAAGACTTGGTAATATGTTTTGTAGCCTTTTGTTGAATAAATATAACACCTTGAATTTCAAGTAAGGGAATAATAATTGGTATGAATACAGTAGACACCTTAGAAACACAAAAAAAAACCTGGTTATATGTAGTCTGATACTCTAACATATTGGGTGTTTGGTCTAAGAAAAGAAAAAACTGAAAAAATGAATTTAATACTTTTACACCTAACATAACTTGTAGAGTTTCTGTTATCACACAAGTTGAGGATGTCGTTGGGTGTTACTTCCAAAACAATTTAAAAACCATTTATAATTACTTAAAATTGTTATTGATCTTTTACACTTGGGTCATCACTAGGGTCATTATTAGAACATCTACCTCCCTCTGCCTTTGCATCACTGTCACCTTCTATCTTTCTTTCGCCACCACAAATGGTTTTCTTTCTTATATAGTATAGTGGTGTCCATAGGCGTATTCAATATTAAAATTTTCTGATATTGAAAGGTACGAGTATTTAATCAGATATTTCATATTCAGATGTTAATCTAATTTCGTTAAAATTATTGCTGAATTCAAGAGAGAATGTTGTGAACAAAAACTAAAAATACATGCAAAATATATCCTTCACATATTAATCTAACTAAATTAGCATTTCCATAATTAGCAAAACAATGTCCTGTCACTACAAAACTAACAACAAACCTAAAACCCAGAGTGCACCGAGCTTTGCATATTTAATTAACTTTTTTTGCTTTTATTCGATTTAATGAATGAATTCTCTCTCGTACGTATTGTGTTCTAATTGTTTTAGGTAAACCCGAAATATTGCAGACCCCACAGATAAATTAAACTAATTTGCATTTGAATTAGACTAATTTGCGTGATGAATGAGGAACAAAAACATAGGTCCACGAATGCCGATACTTTCGGATGTGTTAAATAGAGAATATCTGTGCGAATTGGAAGTGAAGCATTACGTGCATCGGTGTTAGTGGTATCCTTGCTATTTTCTGCTTGAGCGTTAACGAGTAATGAATTTGTTCGCATTTAATCCGCGCTAAATATGTATGTATGTATCTCATAGATAAATCATTTATATATACCTGAGGATATAATTGTGCATGTGCTTAATTTGTATTATTTTTTTGTGATTAAAATTTAAGTATATTCAAATTTAATAGAATATTTTAATTTGATTTGATTAGATTTGTTTTGATTGGATTTCATTTGCACTTTTGTTTAGATGAATTTACATTACATTACACACAAGTTATACAAGTTCGAGTTTCTAAAATAACAAAATCATCAAAATATATAGCTTTTAATGAATTGAAATTAATTTATATTATGTTTAAGTAGAATTCAGGTTAAAATATTTTTAAATCTATTGCTTTTGTTTTCGGCATTTACGTTGGCTACGCCAAAACCACAAAAAGTGAATATTTAAGTACTCAGAATATTAAATTAATGAGTTATCTGGTGCCTAGTAATATTTTCTTTTCTTAAAATATAAGCAGAAACGGTATTAGCGTAAAAAATTAGTTCAATGAGTAGAAAAACACTTTTAAGAATATTATTAAAATCATTATAAACAATTTTAAACATAAAAAATATTTGTTGCAAACCTCTACTTCTAATAAATAAAGACTTAAGATTCTATTGACTAAAGTCTTAAGCAAATGTAATTGTTTTTTTTTTTTATATAAGTAATTTCTTGATAAGACACACACATATATATATATATTACAAATAAAATATTATACCTCACACGCAGTGTAATACATATTGTATTTACGAATACTATATAACAATAATAATAAAGACTTCATATTAATCATATTCATATTAGTCTATCTTCTATAGACTTACTTATTCCTTTGTAATATTTTTATTACATCATTTCATGAATTTCATTTTATAACTAAATTGTCCTATCTTTCAGCAAATTTATTTGTAAATTTTCATTACCTTCAAAATACGTTCTGCTCGACGCATTTTCATAAATTCCAATGCATTAGCCAAGTATCCTTTTATAGTTTACAAGCCAGCAGTGCCTAGCATATTTTCCTTCATCGTTCATCCAATCAATTTATGCTTCTAACCCTCGAAGCAAAGAAAATTTTATAAAGATACAACTCATGTCATTCATAACGCACCTGCTATATCACAACCTTCCATGCTCATTAAATATGCAACAAATTCGAAACTAGCAAATGTTGAGCGTTTTTCTAACGTAATTGGTGGGTCTGGCAAGAATGACGACACCATTTCGTCACCACTTCACTTTTTCTGAATTCTTAGCTAGCATAAAATTCATGGTACTATCTGAAAGTTTTATTATTATTTTTTGCCCCATTTTTTTATAACTCACTACAACAAGGTCTATATAGTCCTTATAGAATGACCAGATAAGCCGATGTGAGTGTCCTGCCAATCTTTTCTTTTAGTTTTTATATAAATGTGATGAAACAGAAATTTTTTGTAAATTCAGGTAGTCGCTTCCATTAATCAACCAAACCAATTGCATATATCGTGTAACGAAATTTTGCAAAAAGAAAATGTAAGAAGTGAATTGTAAATAATTGGTTTTTAATCAAATTCTTTGTGGGAATGGTGTTAAAGCTTCAGTTAAGCCGAGTTAAGTTTTTATGACGAAATAAACACCAGACGGACAGTTATGCAGATATTTATAAAAATAAAAAGTCTTTTGAAATGGTAAAATATCTTACATTCTTTGCTTATAAAAATATAAATGAAATTTTGTCAACTTGTTCACCTTTCCTGTCAATCTACATAATTTACTCATCATGTCCTTTTGGTAATTTCTTTAAATTTACATAATTTTCCCGTAAGATAAGCCTGCCCTTCTAATTTAATTTTATGTTGAAAAATTAAATGAACTTTCAATTAAAATGTTGAGAAATTGCAAGTATATAACCAATGAACATGAAAGTTTTTTAAAGAGGTTTTTTCGAACAGTAGTGAACTACAACAACAAACATTTTATTTTTTATATTATTTTAATTAATTGAATTTTTGATTAACCATACAGTTGTTTCGAGTATTGCCAAATACCCATCATCAGTGGTCTTGGAAATAATTCTTGTATTTAATTAGGAATTGAACTCGGGTTCTGCCAAATTTGATGCTCAGAGTCAGCGCCCTTTAATCAACTGATCCAAAGCCGTACTTGACTTTTATGTTCTCACATTTTTGTGGAGATTTGTTAATTTTGCTATGAAAGCCTTTATTAACAAATTTACTTGCTATGTTTATAATAGAACGAAATAATAAACCAGCTGTAGAATAATTGAATTAATTAATTATATTTTTATTTTTTAATTGTTTAACTTCAATACTATTCTGCTTGTAGAGGCTCTTTCTTATGTATAGAACCTAATCTAGGAACGTAATGCTGAGAAAATCATGCTAATGTTACTCAACTAGTCGCACAGGCGAGACCAATATCTTGTGAATATAAGTTGTAATTTAACGTCAAATTTTTCAGACAGAAGTGACTATTATATTTGATGAAAGTTTCTAGGTATAAAGATTAATGTTTAAATAGATAGATAACATTTTGATGATTTTTCATGTAATTTAGTATTTACACCAAATCATCTACACCAGATGTAGATTTTGGTATTGCAGTTTTTGAAGAAGAATTTTTCTTCTTTCTTCTAAATTCTTCTAAATTTCACATAATTACTGGTTTTGTACCTATTTACTTCGATAGTTTATTCTGTTTGTATTTTATCTAAAAAAAAGTTGTCTTCTTCTACTTTATTAATTCTACACATCTTTACAGTTTATGTACTCAAAATAATATTAAAATTTAAGTTAAGATGTTTTTTTGCATAAGAAACTAAATAAAAATTAAAGAATGTTCAGTTCCACAAAATATTTTAAAACTAATTAAAAATGTTTTTGATGAGGGTCACTATTTCTATTTTGAGCCTTGGCAACATTAATCTCTCAATTAATCTGTCAATTGAGATTTCCCGAAACCGAGACAATTTTCGTGATAATGCAAGATCATCATGCGGCTTACTGTATGATAGAGGGAACTCTAGACATTAGTTCCACCAGCATATATAAAATATTGCAAGATCATTTAGCCGTCAGAAAGGTTTGTTGTCGTTGGATCCCATCCTCCATCATTTGATAAAATCACAAAAAGTTGCTCGTGTCGATTGGTGCACACATATGCTCAAGAAGCATTATGGCGGTGCTTCAAAAGACGTATAAAAAATTGTGTCAGATGGCGAACCATTGATATATCGTATGAGATGGAACGCATATATAGAACAGCAGTCCACTGTATGGGTGCATATGTGTTTCAAGATAAACCACAGAAATCTTCAGTGACTTCCAGTGGCGGAAAACAAACAAGCGCCGTCGGATCATTCTCCATCTACATCAAGGCAATGCGAGTGCCTTCTTGTGAAACTGATTCATTAGTACCATTCATTAACAAATATACTTATGAATCATTTCTGTGGCGAATGTGAATGCATATAAGTAGTGTATGAGACATTTATACGCATTTAGATTTGGTTTTTTATGAGTGTTCTCTGATACGTATATTAGACACTTAACAACATTTTCAGCAATGCAATACAACTGCTCTTGCTTTACATATTGCGATTCAAAATTATTAATAAGATTTTAATTTCTGATATCAAAAAAACTACAATTTATGACATTACATTGACGTCATCTTCCTTTAAAAATACTTTATCGAACATTTTCTTTATTTTATAACCATCGCTTGATTAAGATGTTTCAAGAATGTAAAGCTTCAATGTGTGGAGCTTTTTACAATATACATTTTTTATGGTTTATAATTTAATTACTTAACTCATTCAGCAAATTTCTAGAATAGACATTTAGATTTACTTTTTTCACTTTTAGTAAGTTTTTGGATTTGCTTACTTTGCTGAACAAGAAAACAAAAGATTAATGTGCAGTCAAGCAGTCATGCATTTCCCTATTTTTGAAATTTAATAAAAATGAAACGCAAATTTCAAGAAGATACATAAAAAGGGATACATTAAAAATTCTAATTCGCAAGCAGATTTAATTATTTTAATAAAATTACAAAATCATTAATAAATTAGTCGCAATTAAAAATTTATCCAAATCCAAAATATATATGGCTTTCACACCCATACAATCAGAACACACAGCCGTATCACTGGCTTCTTTTAAAATTAAATAGAATAGATGAATAGAATAAATAAAAATATTCTAACGATTAAACTTTTTCAATAATTTAACAGAAAAATGATTATGTTTATTAATCACATTAAACTGATAGCAAATACATTAAATGGAACATATTAATATTCGACCTATAATGCAAGAATGAATCTTTAAAACATACTACCTTCATATTACATTTTTTACTCATATTCAAAAACAATCGTAAATTATAAAGTAAAAACAAAGACTATCTTTTTGTGCCTCAAACAGAAAACTATTCTCTAAATCTCATATCGATCATATCATACCCGGCTTTGAAGAAGATTACACAAGCAATTTTTTTTGTGCGGTGCTTTAACCTTCTGCATACCTTACTTTTACCCATTTTGTTTGAAAATAAAGGGTGCATAAATTTGGTATACCAAATTTATTAAAATATGTGTCATGCCTACTGTGCGCATACGGCGAAGTTGCGTTATTTGAACATTAGTTTCGTACCCAAAAACTTTCACTATGAATTTTAGAGTTTTAGACTGAAACGTCTTGAAAAATTCGATATTACAGGTTGTATCCCACTCCTTGATGCCAGGGAGTATACCTCACTAACTAAGTTCACCTCTACACAAAAAAGTATATGTAACAAAAACACATTTGTAAATTTCAGTTTTTTTTTTGACAAATGATGGATCTATTGTTTTAGGTTCGTTATAGTAAAAATTAATGCGTAAGTTTACTAGGATAAAGGGAAGTATGCAGTACGGGTGTGTAAATGAATTTGTGATGTTTGTGGTTAAAATGTGCTATAAAAAGGCAAAATGTGGTTCAATTGATTTCAGTTTGGAATCTGAACATAAGTGATGCAACTTACACCAGTTAACTCACCATTGATAAAACCTGTAAAATTACTGAAAAGGTTCAGAGATGGGATTGTGGGTACCCACAACATCATTAATACAGAAAAGTCAAGCAGAATATTTTTTATAAAATTACAAAAATCTGACTATAAAATACTACTTGATATCTGGACACTTCAAACGCAGTGCGTTTAGCAAGACTACAATAACAACTTCTGATTTGAGCTTCTATAGCATAGAACTTCACATATATGGTATTCAAAATTAAAACAGTTCAAGAAAATATTAAAAAAAATGTAAAAAAAAAACATTCTTTAAAAGCAAAAGTGTGGCACATCATCATGATTAGACCAAATATCTTTACGAGACATAAAAATCTAACACTATCGAATATATCTATCGAATCATCTATCGAATATATCTGACAATGAACTTTACTTTATAATTAGTTTCAATGGATTTAACAATAGCGTTTCAATAGTAATAAAAATTATAGCTGAAAACTGACAAACAAGAAAACAATATATACCATAGACAATATTTGGTAAAATAAACAGATTTTTTTAAAATTAATTTTTGGTTAATAAAAAGAATAATATTTGTTCCTCACTCAATACGGAAAAAAGGTAAGTTATTTTTTTGCTGTAAACAATAATTTTCTTTTTTTCGTTGGGAAAATTGTCAAAAAGTTCATATTAGAACTGTTTCCATAATTAAGAAACATTAAATAAATTCTGAACACAAGTCAGTCACAAATGTTAGAGATGACTGAAAGCTAACAATACAGTAGATATCGATACTAGTGTGAAAACCAAGCAAATGAAGTATCATCTATAACTGAATACTGGAAAATTATTTTAAGTAGAAAAACAATATAAATCATAAAAATGATGTATAGTATAAAATTGCAGCTGCACTACCTATTATAAATGCATATAAAACTTACCCTCTTGAATTTGAAATTTAATATTTTTAACTTTTCACTTTATGTCGAAATAAAAACTCTATTAGTTCACATTACATTATAATTCCAGAAACAACTGCTATAATTTGTGTCCCAGAAACTTGCACCGCATACACCATGCATCATTTGCATTGGGAATTCCTAGTAAAGGTTCTCGCAAAAAAAAAATGTTGAAGAGGAAACTGCCAGCACCGCAAAGCGTCAGAAAAGTTGAAACTTTGCATAATCCGCATTGCATTCGCACTTGAAGCCTTCATTCCTTAGGCGAAAATGCAGTTGCACTGAAATTCCGTGTATTTTCGAACGATTTTATTTATGGCATTATTTGCACAAAGCAAATTCCATTATTTAACTATATTCATAAAATACTTCAGAAAAACACTTGCGTTGCACCAAAAAATATTGAATTTAATAGAAATATTCTAAAACCAACAGAAAACGTAAACCAAAAATTATATATACACAGAAACTATTCTCTAATCGGATATTGCAATCGTAAGCAATCATAAAAATTCAATACACACTCATATATACATACAGATATATACATATTCAATTTGTGAGGATTTATAAATTCATCCTTGCAATGAATATTGAATTCAATTCAATAATAAGTGCGATGCTGTTGCAATTCAGTGCGGCGCTTCTCTGTGAAAATGCAGGTGTGCAGGTGCAATGGCTGAGAAGGTTCAAAATGTATAGAAATAACTTTGTATGAAGTGCGAGTACTGTATCACTTAAGTAAGGATTTAGAAATTCCAGATTTTATATTACCAACGAGCGGTTGTTGCATACCAAAAACTATGCACTTCCTTTGGAAAGCAAATGATTATGATTCAGTTTAAAATTATTTCAGCATCGCAGGCAGATTTAAAGTAAACAAAGTTTTTCAATTTTACAGTTCAAGTAAAAAGTTGAATATTTGTTCTCGGTAAGTTTTCACCATTTAAAATTTCAACTTATGGATTGATTCATAATTTTCATACATATAAGTCGCCATCTAAAACTTTTTTCATATTTAAACTCTTCAATATTTACTGTACTTTTAAAATATATTTATGTGTACAAGAAAAATGTCGTTTTCATAGATGCATCATCAGTTATTATAATAAAAGCTATAAATTTTTTATTAAAATATTGGAAAGTACCATGAAATATTTTGTAATTAAATCATTTACTTCCAATGTACCAAAATTAATATTGTCATAAATACTCTTAAAAAACCAATTTAATGATAATAATAATAATTATAATTTAATAATAATAACATAAGAATTTCAGTTCTTTTATTTAGAAGTATGTTTCCGCACAAACGACATGCTAAGAGACCTTAGAATAGACCCGATCAAAAAATACATAAGGAACAGAGCCCTGAAGTTATATGCGAAAATTGACAGGCTATCCTACTTACCACTATCTAATCTTAGAGTAATCACTCTCCGCACGGGGACGTACGTAGATCTTAGATCAATCACTGAATAATCATGAAGCTTATAGTGAATACATAAATTAGTCAATGAGATGGGTGGGACCCTATAGTATCCCCAGCTATCAAAGAGTAAAAGTGCCCAGTTGCGCTGACTCGAAAAAAGGATCAACATATATACTCCTTTTTCTATATGAAATAAGTTCTTTTTTTAACAAATTTTATTAAAATGAAATTTATTAGAAATATTTAGAAATTCATTAAATATTAATATGAATTTACAACAAAAAAGTTATCAAATATTATATTCATTTTACTAAACAGAAGTCAATTTTTTTACCCACATTTCATTTACCCTTCTACATACATCTCAGCGTATTAATAAGTATCTATACGTTTGAACCTGAAACTTAATTTCAACTATTTCTGTATCATCAATCTCAATTTCAGCTTAAATGTTAGTAGAATAAAAAATCAGCACAAAATCATATACCATATAGCATATACGACTGTCTTTTGCTGGATTGTTTTATAATTAAAAAAGTTTGTTTCATATAAGCAATGACAAGCGAAAGTTGCTGTGAAGTTAGAATACAGAAAACT